CTCTCTCTCTCTCTCTCTCTCTCTCTCTCTCTCTCTCTCTCTCTCTCTATCTATCTATCTATCTATCTATCTATCTATCTATCTATCTATCTCGCACACACACACACACACACGTTGTGCTCTCCTTTGCTGCTCGACGGGGACTTGGGTGCCGTGCTTGGATTCGTGCTCATCATTGATCCGTGGATCCGTGCTTCGATTCGTGCTCTGTCCATTGGTGCTCATAGTGTTCTCTCCATTGGTGCTCATCGTGTTCTCTCCATCGTGCTCATCGAGTATCCCTGCTTTTCTTTGGAGCACGACCACGTGCTCATCGTGGATCTGTGCTTTTCGTCACGTGCTGACCGTGGATCCGTGCGTTTCATGCTCATTATCGTGGATTCGTGCGGGAACTTTGGTGCATGATAACATGCTCAACTTCGATCCGTGCTTTTGGTGGTCGGTGCTCATCGTGCTCGGTGCTTATCGTGGATACGTGATTTTCATGCTCATCGTCGATCCGTGCTTTTCGTGCCATCGTGGATACGTGCTTTTCATGCTCATCGTCGATCTGTGCTTTTCGTGTCATCGTGGATACGTGCTTTTCATGCTCATCGGTGATCCGTGCTTTTCATGCTCATCATTGATCCGTGCTTTTCATGCTCATCGTTGATACGTGCTTTTCATGCTCATCATTGATCCGTGCTTTTTGTGTTCATCGTTGATACGTGCTTTCCGTACTCATCATCGATCCGTGCTTTTCATGCTTGGTGATCGCCGTGGATGCGTGCTCATCGTGAAGCCATCCTAACACCGTGGATGCATGCTTTTCATGCTCGGTGCTCATCGTGAATCCATCCAGACGTGCTCATCATTGATCCGTGATTTTCATGCTCATCCAGATGTGGTCACCGTGGATGCGTGCTCATCGTGAATCCATCCAGACGTGCTTTTGGTGCTCATCATCGACCCTCCCTTCTTCCTCCCGTTCTCCTTCCTTCTTCCCTCCGTCGCCTTTGCGCTCCTTCCTCCGGTGGCATTACCTTCCTCGGCCCTCTGTCCTCCCTCCTTTCGTGCTACCTTATCTGGGAATGATATAGAGAGTGCATTCCATTTTTCTTAACTTTCTCAATTTGCGTTAAGGCTTAGCGCCACTTTCTTTTTCCAATGTGAATAAGGGCGAGCGTGTCGCACGTGCGGTGCGCACAGACGCACACAGCGAGAGGTGTGGATGGATGGCGCGTGTGCGCGCGCGCGAGAGAGAGAGAG